ACATGTAATATTCAGGCTGATCTTAGCCAATTTTTAAGCAAGAACAGTCAAAAATATTTTTAATGCAACTTGTTATGTCATCAATCATTGTATTAATAAAGCAAAGAATTTGTTTAAAAAAGGTTAATGTAATATATTATTAGAAATATTATCAAAAATGAAATAAAATATTTGATTACAATTTAATCACACAATATGCAGCTAAGTGTTGTACAAAGTTTAAAAACAATGTAAATAATTTTTCCATATTTTGAATACCCATTTGCATGTTTTCAGTATCATAAATTAAATTAAATTAATCCTTCAAAAATTAAAATAATGCTATGACTTTTGATTTATGACATAATATTATATATTACGCTATTTGAGCCTCTACGAGTATGTGTATAGCAATAAAAAAAAATATACATATGCACCTAAATAGAACAAAAAATAATGATTGGTATATAATTTTTTGAGACAATAATTCTTAGTACTCAAATAAACTTGTAGGTAAAAAAAATAAAATGATTAATACATTTTTTATATAAAATATGCATTAAAAGACCTTACCTAACCTATTAATTAACATTTAACTAAAATAAAATTGATAATTATTTTAATTTGAATATCACAATACATAAATATATATATTTTTAAAATACTTCAACCTAAGTCTTTATTAATAATACCTAAGTTATTAGTGTTTAAATTAAAAGACACTAAATCATCAATGTTCTCAAGTGTTGTGTTCCGTATGCTTAATAAGTAAGTAACAAAATGTTGATAACAAGTTACCTACAAGTTGAACTTCACTATATTTAACTCTACATAAAATAGTACTTAGAGTGGACAACTTACTTGATAATTTTTCAAAATTGAGTTATTGGTAAAATATTATTTAAAATGTGGTGGTACACTTAAAAGGTTAAAAATCATATGCCTATATCTAAACATTTTATATAATTAAATTAAGTTTTTATAATCGTAAAGTGTAGAAAATGTGGCTTACACTATATTATACCAAAAATTTGTGCGTTAAGCTTACTTCAGAATTTTCCAGATCAATATCAAGGTTTGAATTGTTTTAATCTGTACAATTTGCCATCATTATACTGAGTTGTTCATTAATGATTTATCCAAATTAATGACACTTGTATTGGCCTGAATTAAAAAAAATAATAATATTGTAACAATTTTAATAATTTTACAAAATATTTCATTAAATATCTACCTAAAGTATATAACTATTACTGTTTCAGTTGTATTTTTTTATTTTATAATTGATCAGCATATTATAGCTATAGACTATAGATTATTGAGTATTTTTAAAGTTATGATCCATTATACATTTCAATTATTCTCATTTTTTAAAAATTCTAAATTTGCGTTTTAGTATATGTATTTTTTAATGTTAACCCAAGTATTATTACATGATTTACTCATGTTTTTCAATCTTTGTAACTATTGTCTATTTACTTATTTTTTATTTTAAAAATTTAACAACATTTCCTAATCTGAATCCTTTAAAATAAGAATTTCAACCTTTAGACTTATTTAACATATAACTAGATTATTCTTATGTTACAAATTGCAATACTATTAACTATTATTCTATAAGTCATGAAAAAAATCCAATGAACTCAATAATATTTACAAAACGCATACAAAAATAGAAAACTGTTAAATGAACAATAGCAACATTCTCCTTTTTATAAATTTCATGGACATTAATAGAATGGTGTATAAGCTGGGGTTAAAAGGAGAACCTGGGAGATTCAGTCCCCTAACCTCTGATAACAGTTAAAAAGTGTCCCCTTTAAAAATTTAGTATTATTTGTAGTTCAAATTTTACATGCAGGGTTTCTTCCTCATCACGTCATTCATGCTACTTTATTCTGTTTTTTTATCTTATTTGCTTATTGTAATTACTGTGTACAGATCGTAAATTGTCTTTCTTAATAAAAAAAAATAAATAAATTTTGCATGAAAAATATAAATTTTAACATTATTCAAGGTTAAAAGTGGGATGAGTTTGCTTACACAATCACTGTTTATACATTACATATATACATTATACATAACAACTTTCACCCACATAAAATGATAGATAGAATGCTTACATTTATATGGAGACATTAGTCCCCCTGAAATATGTTACCACTTTAAGCGTACAAGAAAAATTAAATCAAAATCAAAGGTATCTATTTAAGTAGGTATAGGGTTTTATTTTAAAAATGTAATATCAATTAATAATACAAAGATATAAATATACAATTATTATAGGCTGGTTTTTTAAAGCAGTAGCGGTATCTTTCCAATTTGCATATATTTGGAAATGTAACTTAATAATTTTGGTTGTATCAACATGTAATGAACAAAACAGGGATTTAAGTGTATCATCCTGGTTCAAAAACCTTGAAACAATGTCATTAAATTATAATTTATAAGTGATGAACAATTTGGTACTAAAAAAAGTCGAACAAAAATAATAAAATAATATTACTATACTAGACAATGCTACAATGCTATAGATAAAATTAATATAGATGCCTACTGCTTTTTGAAACACATTCTAAGACACTCAGCATGGAATAAATGACCACATGGAGTTGTGAATACAGATTCTTTGTATATTCCGGTAAATGCAGCTTTACATACTCCACAACAAAACATCTTGAGGTTTACACAATCCTTATATAATAAATTGAAATGTTAATAAAATGCACATCCATTATCCGTACCTACTCTATATCCTTAAAAGATGAATTTAATGAATTTATAATTATGACTGTTCTACTTAACTAAATAAGTTTTAAATAAAAATATTAAATGCTGTTATAGATAGTAGCTAGATACCTACCTACCTAGGTATTTATTATTGTCGTGAGTATAAAGCCAAACATTTTTATAGCTCAATAACTAAATGGACATACATACAAAATAGGGATACTATGAATATTAATTATGGTTATAATTCATTAAAGTAATGATAATTATAATTAATGATTTTAATATTTTATAATAATAATGAGAACTTATTTAAGATGTTATACCTAAATACCTAATAATAAAATGATAAGTTGTCTGATTAATTGTTATGGTTATACTGTTACATAATATTACTTTCATTAAGAATAGGCAATAGGCATATATATATATAACATATAATAGTAAATTAATAATTAGATAGGTTATGAATTGGCTTTTGTATTATTAGTTATTGATGTCATAATATATTTGAAATAAAGATTGAACTAATGAGAGAATTATAGAGCTGATTAAAATTTAAAAGTGTGGAAACTAGAAATATTAAACATGGATAGACTTTGAAGAAAAAGTACCTCTAGCGATAATTAATTATAGATTACAGAGAAGAGAAACGAAATTAGTGTACTTAAAATGGAATTTTAATTTTAGATTACTTATGATAAGTAGATAATTACATGATGGAGACGATTTTTCTATTTTAATTTTTTCATCAAGATATAGGTATAGTGCCTTGCTACCAAGAAATGCATTAACTCCAAAAAATGAAATGTTTGGAATTCATAAATTTTTTATTTCTATCAGATATATTATATGTTTGTCTGTGGTAGTTGCGGGTTTAAAGGAACGACTATGGGGCATTATCCGCTCCTACCCCTTGTGACTAAGCTATTTGTTTATCTAAGTAATATGATACATAAAACATTATATAGTAATATGATTTATTGAAGTATTATGATACACCAATCAATAATTATTATAAAATATTTTCATTGAAAAACATGGTCTCAACAGATAATAATATTATTAAACGATTTTCAAAAGTTAAAAAAAAAGTAACTTCCAATTTATAATAAAATATAGATTTTTTTTAAATAAACAGTTAATTTTTTATTACTTTAATATAATTATTTTTATAAATGGTTTCAGATGAAAATTACTAGCAATATAACTATTAAAATACCTAAGTTTTTATTGTGAAACAAATACATAAAAAGATTAAAAAAAGATCTACATGTTAGAAAAACATATAATGTTAACTACAATTTTATTATAGATTTAAAATACAACTACCTACGTAAATTCAATTAGCCTCCCCCCCACTGGTGAATGATAAAATCCGCCCCTGATGGTTTGTGGTGATGACCCTGAAAACGCACTTACTGTTTTATATTGTAAAATAATTTATCAAGACTTAATGTATTTCGGTTACCAAAAAGGCTAAGGCCGGATCTTACAATGTCCGGTTAAAGTTAACGTATGAAAATATGTAAGAACGGCTCTAAAGGCCAGGGCAGCGATCGCTGCTTAGCTGCCTTGACCAGGCCAATATTGAATGGCATTAATTAGGCTATTTTTACCTCAGACACGTATAAAGTTATATAAGACGGCGGAAATTGCGTTGAAATAAAAATGTAGGTACCCAAGGCATGGAATTAGCATGTGAGTTACGAGTGAAGCGATCCGATTTAATTTTTGGTTCGATTACTTTTATAGGCTGGTCAAAACTTTAGTCCTCTTTTGTTTAATCATAGAAATAACGCCATTGAGTTATAAAACGAATAAGTTTTTTTTTAAATAATAATGGCTAAAGCCTAAGCCACCTTTGTCACCGCGCAGAAGCGGGGCAAAGGGGTCGTTTTTAAACCTAATTTTATGTGGTATGCGTATGACGCCCATTTTTATAAGTTATACATTGTTTTTAATTAAAATATGATGTATATCATACGATGATTGGACTATTTTTTATAACAAATGTTGTATATAATATTATTATAACAAAATAATAATTATAATACTCTACATCATAAGTTAGGTACCCACCAATAGTTATTAATAAATTTACCACCGAAAACTGATGTGGGTAATACGTCATTGGAAAAACCGACTGCCAATAGGCTGATAGTATAATTAGCTTAAAATTATTAATCCAGACGTCCTGCAGTATAATAATAGTGAATAATACCTTTCGTTATCTGTGTGGTTCTCTACACCGTCTCCGTGGATTTGTTGAAGACTTGTGGAAACTGGAAGTCCGTGTTCAGAATTTCTTTTGTCGTACCTACAACAATTCGAGTACTTTCCTAATATCGTTATTTGTTAGTATAATATTATGTAAAACCAAATCCGCATTGAAATAAGAAAATATTATAATGTATAAAAAGTAATTGAATGTTTTATACTATTTGGTATAATACAATTATGGTAACAGGTTAACCACACGGTTTACATAGAACATGTACTTTATTGCCAGTGTAAATATTGTAATGCTTTGATGGTTTCATTACTGTGCATGATTCGAACTCTTATTAATATCAAATGTAGGAATAAGAATAACGTATTGTAAATATTATATGGTTGGGAAGCCGATACACAAGTTCCCGACGCTTGTGGTTACTCGTAGTCAACCGTGGTTCTAATGCTGTCTTGACCAAGCCGACTTTTTCCAGTCTCGTAGTAATTCTTACTATTCAAATCTCTTGCGTTTTCTGCTCATAACTTTTATTTCATCGTGTTGGCTTTTCATAGTTGATTACAAATAGGCCACACAGCCGACTCGTCATGATGGCGACGGCCAGCAGCTATACCGACACCAACGAATCGAACGAACTGACCGTCGACTACAAAACCGACGAAGAAGGTAAGACAGATGAATAATTGGACCTTAAGTTTCCACTCATTAGTGTGACGTCGTCATGTTTAGTATTGCTCAATCTCGCACTGCAGAAGAAACTCGAAGTGTCCACCGTCATCAAAATCAAGGGTATTCCCGAAGTCACACCCAAAAGCTTCGACAAACTCCGAATATATATCATTAAAGTATTTACACGGTTTGGTAAAATACTCAAAGATTACTATCCAAAGTCTGAGAATGGTCACACTAAAAAGTGAGTGCTTATTATAAACTTTCCACTTTGAATTTGAACGTACATTCTAAAAACGCATTTGTTTTATTTTATTAGTTACTTATTCATTGAATATGAAGACCACAAAAGCGCACTGGAAGCTGTTAAGTGGACTAATACTTCCGAACTAGACAGCGAATATACTTTTTTAATACAATTAGTTCCCGACTTTAAAAGGTGGGTTGAATTAATTATTTGCTTTTTCTCGTACATAATATTACTATCTATTTATTTTATTTTTAAACTAAGTACATAACTAATTTGTTGAAAAGGGTAATTAAGTGGTTAGATTTTTGACTGTCTTTACATTTCAAGTTTTAAATGTTGATGTACCTATTAATATTATTTATTTATTGATCAGTTTTTAATAGTAAATAACATATTTACTAAAGAAGTACCTTCAAGTAATTTCACAAAATTGTTTTCATAATTATGTATTTAATCAAATTTTTKTTTTGTACCTAATACAATAACACCTTTGGTGTCTGTATTTTATTTTAAGGATTGGGACTTAATAGTATTATGTGGTATTGTTCATTTATTATTATAATAAGACAAACTGACTAAGTTAAAGTAAATAACACTTTTTTTGAATTCAATAAATATTAAATTAACATGTTACAACGTATTTAAATAATTTGCCATTTTAATTTTTATATCTTTTACCTATCTATTCAATTTCTAATTTGCATACAAGAATGAGTAATCAAATCTGAAATTTTCAATTTTATGTTGCAGATACTTGACTATAATATGTTAGTATTTTATAATTTAGTTATTCTATTTTTTATGATTAGATAACACATAAATAATACTATTATTTCCTATAATTTTACAAAAAAAAAAGTACCACTTTTAAAAAACAGATTAAATACTTATGTCACTTTTAGCTTTTGAAATTACTAATATTAACTTTTTGCGTTATTATAGAATAGCAACTCTGCTACAGCCAATATCAGGCTATGATGTGCATTTTTTCTTGAGTAAACCTACTACATATGGTCAATATTTTGTAAACAAAAACTTAAACAGTCGTATTCAAGGTTGGATGAATAACTTTCCTCATATACCAGATCTAGAAAAACATAGAGTAAGTTACAATTTATTGTTTGATCATTTGTTTCTAACTAATAACATAGGTGTCTAAGGTGAGAGCAAATTACCTGAAATAGGTACATATAGAATGATATGAAAATCAATAAGTAATAATTTCTATTTTTTCAATTAAGTACCTACTATTAAAATATAAATCTGACTTACAAATTTATAATGCATTCACATAATGGTATACTTTGGTAATACGTCTAACTCGTTAGCTATGTTTAGAGTTTATGGAATGGATGTTGTCTAAATAACTTTATTGTTTATTATTAGAAATTTTATCGAATTATAATATGATGTATTTATATAGGTACCTACAATCTACATAGTATTTAAAATTGTGGCAATGAGTGAATCTATTGATAATTAAAATACATTTGTATATTTTACATCAATAATTTAATTTAATTAGATATTTCTATTTTTTTCTAGGTTATTATCAAATATTGCATTATAAAGGTAGATAAATTAAGTTAATTTTGGTTAATTAACCGGCATAAACAACTATTTTGCACATATTTTTAAATTTATTCATTAACATTTTTTACTTGTAAATTAACTGAAGTTTATATAGTTCTGTATCTTTCTCTCTATAACTGTGACAAAACAGTTTGAAGGGTAACTGCCTCACATACTGGTGCCGTCTGGTGGAGAAATAAGTCTGCGATGTAATATGGAACATTTATTGCTTGTGTACATGTTTGTTTTCCTTATATCTAGGCTCTAGTAGTCTAACCAAGCTTCTTAATTTTTCTAAATCTCATAGTTTGTATTACTCATATCTTCTGCATTTTGTGGTAATATTTTGTTCCATTGTCTTGATGTTTTTCAGATGATGGCAGACGCTCAATTGGCCATGGCCAAGAAAAAAGATCCCAAAAAGTAAGTCAAATTTCATTAGTTACCTAAATGTTTGTTGAGTATGAAAAAGACAAAAACTCCTCGGTTGCTGTTACACAAGAATACAAGATAATAATTTCCAACTAATAAAATGTCATACTTTATTAATAATTAATATAATCATTTTTTGACTACAAACAGTGAGCTTAATTAATTTATTAGCTAATAAAATATTTGATTCAAAGTGTACAGCAATTTTAATTTTTAATCTATTTTTATGTCATAATACTTTAGGTCAACGGTACTCGACACTCATACTAAGCATTCATACCAATAATATGTCATTTTAAATTTTAATCATACTATCATAAGTGGGACACATTTAAATATTTAATATAGTATTATAGTTTGTTAATAATTCTAGCAATTGTAATTCTTTTTAATATTTGTATATACTTGGCTCATATTGAATGATTGCTATTTACAAGTAAATTAAAAAGATATTTAATAATAAATTGTATATATGATTTATTTATTTTTAGTTGTATTGTTATTACTTTATTAGTCATTATACCCAACTCATGATTTTTCAGCCTGTAGCAAATATGTTTGCCAAAACTCCAGTATCTCAATTTCTGTAACTTGTATTAGTACTATGTCATGACTAGGGCTCGGATGTTGTTGCATTTGCAATTTTTTTTCTATTGTTCGGATTTGTTGCTAAGTAAGTTATAAATTTATTTCAAACGAGTACCAATTAATATATAAAAATTTTAAGGGAAACTTTTTGCAACTTTTGACCTTTTTTCAATTTTATTTCAATTTTGTTGATTGTCGTCATTTTCAATACAATTTTATATATTTTTTTATGTTTTCACTTTTTTGTTGTTAGATTATACAGTGCAATAACTTTTAAGGTAAGGTAAGGTTTTTTTAAAAAAACAAATAACAAATAAAAAATAGTTTAAATAAAAAGTTTTAAATTTTGATAAAATTATTTGTAGATTTCTGAAAAAATAAGAAGACCGCACAATTTACCAGATTTTTAATGACAACTGACGAGAATTTGAATTTGAATCTTTTTTATTATCTACTCCTTTAAAATCTATCTAATAAAACTTTATAATATTACTTAATAAAATGACTCAATAATTTGTTAATATATTTTATTTTTATTTTTTTGGTACAAAATATTTTTTTATTGCAATTTTTAAGTACAATTTTGGGTATTTTTCACAGCAATAATGCAATCAATTTTAACATTTTTAGTGCAACAACATCCGAGCCCTAGTCATGACTAATAGATAAAGTAAAATATATTACCTATATCAATATTATATTATATTACATTATTTTCAAAACATATTTTAATATATTTTGAAAAAGTGAATTTTTTGAGCTAATTAATTTTCTTTAGCCATAATAATTCTTATAAAATGACAAGTTACTTATGTGGGGTTGCATGAACAATCAATAAATATTTAATCAATCAATTATCAATAGTGAGCTAAACATCCCTTAAACATGATTTAGTGGCCCATGACTAGTATATTAAATTTTATTGAATCATTAGATTAATAAATTGTTCATACTACCTATTAAAAGACAATAAGTCTATATTACGTAAAATTCTTGTCCCGGATAACCATTGAAGAATTAAATATGGGTATGTAGTATAAGTATAGCTATTATCTTGAATTATTTTTCCTTTAATATGTGTCCATTCTCACTCAATATTAATAGCTATATGCAATAAGTTAGTTTACTAATTTGTCACTTGACACTATCTTACATAAATATCTTCCTTACTAATGATGATTGGACAATATTCATATGATAATCACCTTCTAAATATTTAAAATATACTTATAACAAAAAATCTAACACAATCAAGCTAAAGTAATTAGTATCACCACAGAATATATGAAATTATATTTGTATAATAATAATGTATAATAATATATTATATAATATTATATATAATTATATTATAATTTTTATAATTTCATATATTCTGCAGTGTCATCTTAAATCACATTATCTTGTAATTTCCACACATATTAATACTCAGATATTTGTAAATAAATAAATTTAAATAATTTAGCCTCTGATTCTTGTTCATATAAATTAATATGTTTTTGCAATAAAGATAATTTGTTATGTGGATAACATTATTAAACAATTAAAAGTTATTTGTTATTAGTTAGTGACTTATCTTATGATCATACAGCGTTTTTCATACATGATGCTAAATCTTCAATTTAAGATAATATTTTCTTTATTTTAATTCATTATAGTATGTATCATCAATAATAATATAATACTTATTATTGTGTGATATCTAACAAAAAATATCAATAATCTCACTTGGAGATTGAGGTTCACATTTTCAAATCGAAAGATATATAGGTAATTGATTAAAAAAAA